ATGCAGACCCATTCCATCTCCTTCCTGCCCATTTTCAATTCACCACAAGTACACTTGAAGGGCTGTATGTGTGATTAGCACAGCTGTTTCCTAGGAAACAGCCTGCTCTTCCAGAAGAGCACCCAGACAGCGTACTCCATGAGTCTTTAAAAAGCCTTGCTTTTTTTCTTGCCCGTGTCGTCCCTGAACAACAAGTTGCCATTAAATCTGACATTTGAAAGTACTAAACAGCTCATATTAAGGCTTAATCGCAATATATTTTATAAAGAAGGCAGAGTTTCTTCTTTGTTCTGCAGGTATTTTTGGGTAAAAGTCTGCCTATCGCTGCGTGGGTTATTGACGAAATCCTGTATGACATCTTTTCTAAAATCTCTGGCTAGGATCCAATTTCTGCTAAGTAACTCTAATTACCTACACAGAACTTGTCTATTTGCACAGGTGCATGTGCCATGCATCTTCCTCTATGTGAGATGAACCTTATAAATAACTGTAGGTGCAAATATAGGTATTTCTACATGTCATCAGGATGATTTTAGAAACTGCACATATAGCAACAGTGCATCTCATCCTGCTTTCTGCACGTGATTATAAGATGCATGGACATATAAGATATAAACGTGTACCTAATTCTTCTGTTCAGCTGCCTTAATACAATCCGGTTTTGACTAATTTCTTTGGTGTAAAAAAAATCATCAGCAATATTACAAAACTGCAAACACTGTGCAGGTCTGCATGTTGTGGTATATTAAAAAACACAGTATTCTTAGCATAGACTGAGAGGTGGACGTTGGAATGAACAAATTAGGGAATGAGACAGGAGTCCAATTTAGTAAGGGGGTTCGGTGGCCCATGTGATAAATGATGTAGTGTGACAAAAAATAATCTGGGCAGGGGGTTTCTAGGACCATGCCTCTAGCCCAGGGGGGGGGCAATCTTATCCGCAAAGGGCCGGTGTGTACACAGGTTTTTGGGATAACCTGTAGGACAGCTGTTCAAACCCAGGTGTCAGGACTCTTCAGCCAATCAGTCCTCTAATTAGAAACCTAATTAGGGAGTTGCAGTGAAAACCCGCATACACACCGGCCACCCCTGCTGTAGCCCAGATTTTTTCTATTCTTATAGTTAGAGTAATAAGCAGCGTTCAGATGCCAGCAAAATGACACATGCTCATTGCTAAAAGCAAGTGCCACATCTGAGGATGACTTACCTTTGACACAAGTTGGTTTTAATATTGTGCTCTTAGTTCCCAAGCCCAGCTGACCCCAGTTATTGCTGCCAAACATGTACAGCTTGCCGGTACCTGCAGGAAAACAGGACAAAAGAAGAAGAGAATGCACTGAAACTGAGACACACTGTGATCTTGGAAAAATGAAGCAGCAATATTTAGAGAATATCTTCAAACACATTCCTATTTCCGCTATGCGGAACATGCAGTTTCTATTTTTGAAAATCAGGACCATCTCAAAAAGTAATTTTTGCAGAGCGTTGTTCATTTTTTTTTTGCTTGGTTATATACATAAGCAGTTTTCTACAAAAACACACAGATACACAGATTCAAAAATTACCTGTTATCAGTGCTGTATGTTCATCTCCACACGATATTTGCACAGGTTTGTCATTTTTCATCCAGAATTTACTGGGAATGTTATCTGCAAACTTGCTTTTTCCAAACGTGAAGATGGCACCTGATTCTGTGAAGAACACAACAAAACGCTTATAGGAAGAGCAAAAAAATAACTCCAAAGAAAACAGCAGTGTAAAGTAGCACGCAATCACATAACTTATTAGGGCTTATAATAGCTTAAAATGGCTATTTCAATAAGGAATAATAGGCTAACCTAGGTCCCTACTTATAATCAGGGGGATACTAGCATGCCTGTTGAACTAGTTAGGAGTAACAACATACAGAGACGACGACAGACACCATTAATCTTTGCAGAACTTGTTCAGCTAGCAATTTTAGCAGTATTTGACAGTATTGTCGAAGCACGGTCATGTGTTACTTTTCCTTGTCTTTTCAATAATCACTTATCTGACTCTCTCCACTAGCCACATCTGAAAGGTTGATGTGCAGCAAACTGAGTAGCATTACGTTTCTGCTCAGGAATATGTGCAGTCGTGGAACCGAGCATCGGGTGAGCTCTCTGATTAACATACCGGGTATCTCGTCATCCGTCTCTCCTGCCATCGTCCTAGACACCCAGCCTTTGACAACAGCTGTCTGGTGTTGTGGGCATCCGATGCTGAGCTGCGTTCGCGAACCCACGACCCGGAAGTAAACAAATAACTTCGCCTGTAGCAACCAGAGTTTACTGCGGTGCCAGCGCGAGACAGTTCGAGATCATCGCTAACTCCGCCCACTTCATTAAATGCTTTATTCCGGATCAGAAAACGACCTATGTATTACTCTAATATATTTTTAATGATACAACGATGAAATTGTTAATAATGTTATATTTATACCTTGCGTAGATATTTATAACAATATTAGGAAATTCTGTTGTCGTATTTTTCCATTGCTTTGGTGTTTTGGGTTTCTATGCCCAGTGTGAGTAAATTGTGCCTAACTCTTTCCCTCTATTTATCTATGGTTCCATTTTATACATGATGAAAACCATCAAGAGCAGCCATGTGAAATATGAACTCATTGTCTCAGGTGATGCGGCAATAATTATTTTATTACCTACTTATTTAGACAGTAGTTTTTGCTGAATAATTTTCCTGTTTAAAGAATGACAATTAAATATGATCATATATAAAACAAAGTACGGTTTAGTGTATATTAATATACAATTAGTCCTCAGCATTGAACGCAAGATCTCAAAGGCTGCGAACCTCAAAGGACCGACATTAAAAGATTTTCATCAGAACAGATAAAACATATTCTTTGGATGTCACACGATCTGAAACGCGGGATTAAACTTGAAGGACAGGTGTGGGTTTTTTGTAGTTTTGACAGCCCCCAGAGGCTGGTGCATAATATTCAGTTTAATCATGGGTGGTCCTGTTAGTATATACATACGTTAGTTATAATTGTAGATGAGTGGATTTTTTTTTTAACTATGTCACATCATAAAACACAGAAACCAGCTGTTTGTTACAGCATCATAGTTTTTAGGATACCTTCAACCTGCCATATTGATAAGGTCGGGAATATATAATCTTTTAAGATGTGATTCCTAGTTCTTGTCAAACGAATTGTTAAAAAAAAACAGATAGAACATGAAAAATATTCTAGAAGCATTAATGGTTTTGGTAATGTGTTACAGCCAGGTTTTGGTGTGTTTTATGTGCAATAAAATGTCCGATGAAGTCCGTGAGCTGCCGCTGTCGTGTTCGCCCAAGCCCCATAAAGGGAAGGCGGTGTGGGTGTTCTCCCTCCGGACACTGACGTCGTCTCTTCCCTCTGCCCGCACCCTCCGGGCGACACATCAAAAAGCCTTTTCTCACACAGCAGATGAATCGCCTCTTCCTTTCCCTCTATCGCTTTGTACATGTTTGATGAAAGGCTCACGGTAACAGACGTCAGGAGACTAGTGATGTGGTAACGTCTCCGGGGAAGGACTTCTGTGTAGACACGGGGCCTTTAAAAACTTTTGTTCTTGTGTCATTTTGGCGTTTGCTTTGCTGGAGGGAGACCCCTACTTACTGACAAATTATCCACCTACGGGTGAGCAAAAGCATGTAGGATGCAGCCAACTCAGTCGAGACCTTGTGCTTGGACCTCCTGCATTTTAAGGACATGCTGTTTGTCACGCACTACAGGGTATCCTTCAGAGCTCATTGGCAGTCGGTTATTAGTGGCTGCAGAACTCAACCAAAGCTGTTAGCTCAAATCCCAAAAGTGATCGATGCTGCTGTTGTACCCTTGAAAATGGTATGAATAACTTTATTACTATTTTAAAATATACAGCCTGACATTACAACCACCCATCCACCTTCCAACCTCTTCTTCAGAGATAGATCACGAGGATTCTTGTTGTCTATCCCAGGCAGGAGAGAGCCCAAAACAGGGGCACCCTAAACAGACTGTCAAGGCCCTTAGAGGGCTTGCCAGCATTATAGACATCACAAATAGACTGCAAGTATTTAAGGTAGCGAGAGCATACTCTCACTCGAAAACATCCATCTGTATATAGATGTAATAATGCATAAAATTGACTGCGTAAATCACTTTCGATATTTAATTAGTTTATTCCAGCAGCACTATAAGATCACAATAGCTCAGTAATACAGTGCAGCGATGTCAGAAATTAAGCCTTTGGAGACACACTGCAATGTTTGCGGGATAGATGCCTCTGTGTCTAAGCGATGGGTGCAGAGCCAGGTGCCTGGAAACAGCCGGAGCCGCATCTGTGAGACGGCGCTGGGGGCTGTGTGCAGACAGCTTGCACGAGGCCTTCCTCTGAGACCCGTCCCCGTGGTTCAGAACAGTAGGTGGTTCACCGCAGGAAGATTCCTGTTGCCAGGCAGCCACTGGCTCAGTTCTGAGGGATCTCGTCACTGGCTCCCAAGTATTACCCTCGCCAACAGGCTCTTGTGCCACTATACTCACCACATTGTTTTAATATTTACTGTAATCAAGCTGTACAACCGATATAAAACCTACATATGGCTCATCCAGTCGCAGAGCTGAGTAATTTTCAACAGGAATTGCAGATCGTTTATCTTAAATGCTTGTAAATCAAAAGAATCTCTTCCATTCAGTAAGAAGTATATGTCGTTAACTACTGCTCCACCTGCCGGCCAGTGCAAAAATATTTGCATTTAGTTGTAGGCCTACTAACTATTCATAGTAACAAGCATGACCAGGGATGTAAAGTAGGCTACAAGCTACAAATACTCTCCTTACTGCAACTGAGTATTTTTTTCCCCAGAAATTGTACTTGATTACTATGTATGAATGAAGCGTTGTAACGGTATTTAGCCAATCGTATGAAAGCGCGTTGAAAAACAGCGCAAAGTCGCACCGGGCTGATTACCTAAAAAGGTAAGTCACTGATAATCACGGAGCTCGTGGCGGGAGTTTCCTTGGCTTCTCGGAGGCAAAGCCAAGGCGAGTAATTTGCCTTTCTAAGCCTGCTGAGATATCTGCATTCAGGAATAACGTGTTTAATTAAAGCACACTGATTGAGGTAAGTTTTAGTTTTATCTTTCGGCTTTCATTTTAGCTTGGCTAGTCATTTACGAACGCCTATAGTAACGGTCTTAGTCTATATGACGTTTAGCGTTAATTTTTTTAGCTGTCAAAACTTAACTGTTAAACTTTTAATATTATTTGCAGTCAAATTATACTTAGCTTGGATAGCTAACTGAGTAATTTATTTTAGGCAATCCCTGCTATTACTAGGCTGCTGTGACGGTATCACTGTGTGTCACAGATATGCGCTGTGCTAACTTCAAGTGTAATGTTAGCTTTAGCTTGCTTTACTAAATAAAAATGTAGGCTGAATGCTTCTGGCCCATCGTGTAAAGTTGCTGGGAGCCTGCATTAATGTACATTTGAGAACGTAACGGATTTTAATTGTACCTCAAGGTTTCAGTTTACTTACACGTTGCTGCACATTTCCTGTTGTCTTCTACATAAGCATTGAATCGTTGCCTGTACTGTAACTCTATGTGCCTCTCGCCCATGCCGTACAGTTTGTGCGTTCCTGAGGTCATTTTTTATGTAGAAGGGCCTAAGCACATACAATACTACAGCAATACATAATGAGTTGGTAATTTTTGTACAGTATTTAAATGGTCTTTGTGTTGTGTGCTTCATTTTTTGAAAATTGCAATTTTATGAGGGGAAACACAATTCAAAAAAACCCAATACTCTGAGTACTTTTTCAACAAGCTACTCTTTTACTTAAGTAGTTTCTAAGATAAGAACTTTTGCTCTGCTCAGAGTTTTTTGGAAGTAATAGTACTTCTAGAGTACTTTGAGCGTGACTGCAAAATGTGGTCGAATACAGAAAATGCATCAAGTTTTCATTTGTCAATCTAAACTAGGACTACCAACATTCACCACAGAGGGCAGTCTTTGTTGATTGTGGCCTACCCAAGCAGTGAAAGCTTATAAGCTTTTAATCTATTATTTATTGCTGCTTCATACTTGCAGTATTAAACAGGGAACGGGGCATTCTGAGTAGTGTGCATGAAAACCTTGCAACACTACCTGGCATGTGATTTTGAAGGATTCTGTCTGAACTGACAGCCAAAAATCTGGTTCAAGTTCACAGATGCTCTACTCTAGAGGAAGTGGTGAAGAAAGCACCCGTTCCTGTTGTCAGTGGCCTGTCAGACCTTCCTGACCCTAAAGGGACCCTGTTAGTGGGGCTAACGGCCACTGAGGGCACTGCAGTGTGCTTTGAGACTTGCTGAAGACCAGCAGTGTTGCATAGCCCAGTATTTGTGAAGACACTGCCGGCAGCACGGTTAGTGCAGCTTGACGTAACCAGAAGGTTTTTAGAGTCCCAAGAGGGGCTGTTGGGGTATTTAAGCTGAATTGTTTTGTTTCTTGTGTTTTCATATTCCTCCTGAATAAAGTTCTCTCACATTTCGCAGGAGTGCTATGGGTCTTTGAGGAGCCTAACTGGAGCTAAACTAGATATCCACCTCCGGAGTGCAGGGGCTCCATGATGTCACATGACAGCAGTGAGTTCTTAGTCTGGTTTTAAAGGTGTATGAACCCAATTCCATTGTGCCATAGATGGCAGCTGTCAAATGCAGAAGTGATATTCCTGGTATTGCAGGATATTTATATGTACATCTATTTCTTGTCAAATATAAATCTAATAGGACGTTAATCGAAAAAAAGTTTATGCTGTTTTTTTGGCTGGTTACAGGAAATAATACTACTTGCATTATTGTGCTTTTGCTTCTCTGGAACATACATATATATAAATTTTTCAGTATTCAACCATAACTATCTCTAACACCCACCGGACACAAACCTACAACAATAAATTTTCCTCATGCATTCTGATGAGGTTATGTACATTTTGGAGGTCTAATTTTTAACACGCTTGCCTTGCGGTCTTGTTCCAAGGCTGCAGGAATTAAGAAGGGAGCAGAACTTAAGTTGTCATTTAATGCTTGAAGGTTGATACAGGACTGAAGTCTACAGAGAAGAAACTGGAGGCTGAAGGTGACACAGACAGTCAAATAATTCCTAAACAGAGGGTCTCCTCAATATTTTAATCCATAACTGTTTTTTTCCCTTCCATTCCTGAGGGTTCTTCTCTCTAGGTACAAAGAGGGCATTGACGCCATTGATGTCCACCTTCCCCACAATACGGGAATATCTGGCATACCTCCAGTGATAAAGGAGCTCTGGAGAGTTGCATGGGTTCAGGACCAGGTGAGGGGGAAATTGGTTGCAAGGAAGCAACGAAGGTTGATGGATGAGCTCCTGGGCTGGAGGTGAGTTTCTGGCATAGGTCTTGTAGCAGATTATAGTTGGAGATTCACGTTTGACTGTTTGAGGCGTCCCCTTGGCAGGATAGCTCAGCTTTTGGATCTGCATTTAGTGCACGAGGATACATAGTTAGCAGCACAATCTCACTCAGCCCCCCTACTTCCTGCCAGCATCTGGAATTCCACCGTGTACTCTGCCACCAAATGATTTTACTGTCGTATATCGCAAGACTGAACTCCTAGATCCAGGCTGGCAGCAGGACGGCCAAATGCTTCCTTAAATAGCATGTGAAATTGTGTCTCAGTATTCAGTACAGTTTTATTCTGGTGCCACAATTCGGTCACCCAGATACACCCAGAGTTCCCAAGCAGTATAGAATTTGATTTTGGTCGTTTCCATATCTGGAAAGAAAGTATGGAAATATTTAGTTTTTTTCACATTCTTGTAACGTATTGGTGTATGAAGTACTCTTAAATGTTATCAATGTTGAAAACGATAACGTGAGCTGGTTGCCAGCACCAAAATGTGCACAGGGTGACCACTGAAGAGCAGCATCTCAACCCAAGGACTGTGGGTGTCTGTGGGGTGCATGATTGATTAATCTCCTGCAGGAAATATAGACGTGGGCTACCTTCCACTTTACAATGCTAACAATGGAGAAATGGAAGCGTTCACCTGCTTGAATTGCCAGTCCCAAGTATTGTAACTGTTTGGCTGAAGATCCCAGATATGAACGGAAAGTAAAATGCAAAGTATGTGTGAAGTTGCTCCACATGAGTTGTCATCCACATGACGGCAGAAGCATTGTCATCTGGTCTCACGAAGTGGTGGATTCTGGTGAGGGCGAGATGGGCGATTGTCCTCCATACAATGTGCAAAATCATGGAATTTTAAATCGGATTGCATAGGAACCCTATATAACAAAATGGATCTTGTCTGCTTTATTCTGTGAATGGTAATCAATGTACTTGGAATAGCAACAGAAACCCCCCAGATTTATCGGAATTACCATCATACCTCTCCAGGGTAGCAATAAAAATAGCCAAAGGCAACGGTATGGATGCTGTGGTGGCCATCGCCTCAGGATACAGCACCATTTCACAACAAAGGGAAGCTGTCTGCACTGAAGTTTGCAAATTAGCTTGCAAAACCTAAATTAGCTCTGCGTTTTCCCTACTGCATCACTCTTGCCTCAGGTTCCAGTGGATCCATAGCCGGCGAGGTATTCTGTAACATAATGATGAAGGCGGATCCAGTTGCAGACATACAAGCGTCACTTTGACAATCCGAAACTGTAGTTTAAAACATAGGCAGTATGTCAAAGTGTAGAGCAGGGCAATGCAGAGGAAACACCAAATCAGAGTCCAAAATCCCTAATTAAAGTCACACGCCATGGATTGTAAAGAAAACAAGGGCAGCTCAGTGAACAGCACAGACACGCAAACCTAAAGGCAAAACTGATATATGCGGTAAAAACTGTACCTGAGAACGGAGAATAATTCTCAGTAAGGTGTGGACATGCAATGCCTTCCAAAGAGCAAAGTGAGCACAGACAAGCTGCTAATATATCTAGTGAGTAATGAGCTTCTGAGTGACAGATGTGCTAATGGCCAGTGAAGTGGAATATAGACAGACTGGGAACATCTGATCAGGCGTGACATTCAGGGCTAACTGGCATGGTCCAGCCTGCTAATCCACCTGCAACAGTCCCCACCCCTGCTATTCTTACTCTCCTGGCTTCACAATAGTCTGCAAATTGAACAGGCTTTATTTAAGTCACCAGCCTGCAAATTCTGAAGCAGGAGCGTGAACTGATTGCACCTCCCCTGTCATGTGACCTTTTGCAGTCATACACACATGAGAAAATCTTAACCTGGCAATCTGTCTCATCAGTAAGGGAAAATAGGTGTATTAAAAAGTTTCTTCATGATCAGGTGATGTTTCTTTGATATTGTCAGGAATAATTATCAGTATCTTTCCCAAAATAAGATGTTAAGTTTGACTAACACATAGTTTAGCCTTATAAATCTAATATCATATTATCTCATTTGCTTATCCTAGGAGAAATTTGGGATTTCTGGTCACCTTCTAATATAAATGTTAAGGCAGTGGATGAGACGTCCAACATCCAGTCCAACATATTCTTGTAAAATTTCCTGTTGTCCGGTAGTTGGTCATTATGTAGCGAATTTGAGTCACACGTAGTTTTACGGCTACTCCCGAAATACATACCTCTAAATATAGTTATGTTTATTCTTTGATCTTGTTCTATATTTTATGTGTTCTTCGGCTTGATGGTGCCTCTGCTGAACGACAAAATGATGATGTAGTAAATACCTTTATGTCTCAAAAAATGTAAAAATTATGAAAATCTAAAAAGGACACAGGATGTGTGTTATTGTAAATTATGTTTGGCCTGTGATTAAATTACCCAAGACATATGCAGTACTCACAATCCAGAACAACGCACTCGTCTTGCCGTTACTTCGTTGGGGGGTGTGGCCGAGGGGGCGGGCTGATGTGCGGTGCGATTTCATTGGCCAGCGCTCCGTAGGCGGCTGCGCCGTGGGAGACTGCAGCGGGCCGGCGCAGCTAAGCCCGGCGGAGAATTTCGCCGATCGCAAGTGCGTCTGTGTTCGGCTCTACTGTAGTATGGCATCTAGGAGAATGGAGACCAAACCGGTGATTACCTGCCTCAAAACGCTCCTGGTCGTCTATTCCTTCGTGTTTTGGGTAAGCCAATGCCGTATTTTGGAGTTCTATCTTGGCTGATGCTTACGTAAGGGGATGGCATGTTTTCGAATTCGTATTTTATTGATTATTATAACAATCTTACGTGGTGCTGCGTTGCTGCTGAAAACCAAATGTATATACATCATGCTAGTATCTGAAGCGTCAGCTATTATATTTTTGACATGCTTCTGTTTTAGCTGCTGTTTTAATTATAATGAAGTTACATAGGACCCATGTCTTTCATATTTAAATTATAAACTGATAATTGTTTTGGCAAATTTTTCTGATTATTTGGGCATAAATTAATCGCTCATAAACTGCTTTTGACCTTCACATGATTAGGTGCGGCCGAGATCCTAAGCATCCTTCTATGAAGGCATTTAATTTACTGATGTAGACGGATGTTTGGCATGATAGGCAGTGCGTGTTTTTATATTCTCACTTCTTGTTAGTTTTATTTAACTGACGATTCAATATGTTGTCAGGCGTTGCCGTCGGCGTGGACACTCCCGTTACGAGCTTTTTGCGAAAATACAGCAAAATGGAAAAATGTGACTAAAACAGAATTTTCTTTTCTTTCACGAAAATATTAAAGGATGCCTTATTGCTTCAACAATTAAGCTGGATGTCATGGTGTGTATTTACACTGGAAAAACGCGCCCTGATCAGCCATCTGCCATTCATTCGGGTGGAAACATGTCTCCTTGTATACAAACACGCCCGATAGACGTGCTACTTGCTTGCTGTGGTATTTACATCAAACGTACAGTGTCGATGAGATTTATTCATATGCTCAGCGCAACGAAATGATTTAACTGAGTATGAAGTTTGTGCGGTACATTTGAGGCCTCACATTGTAAATTGTGAAGAATGACTTTAGGTATGTTTGCGGTCGTCTCAGTGTTTTTGATGTGGAAGAAGTTAGACATCACACGTGCTTTTGAGGTATTTCACATGGAAGAGAGTGCAGATGTGCAAATGGGTGTTTTGATGCTGGTGAGCAGGAATATGTTTCGGAGACTGATATACTGTAATTTTTCTGCCAAAGTTGCTGAAGTTAATAGTATACAAAATTCACCTACAACACCTGGTAAATTAAGTCAGCATTTAAAACTTAACTTTGTGGGTGATAACGATGCGTTAAGGGGCCCACCAAAGAGAGCTGTAAGTGGAACTCCCTAATAAAAATACCACATTTTATATTAATAACTTGGTATTTTATCTCAGCGGCTATAATTCAGATCGTAAACTGATTGGCATTTTCCAGAAACAAACTATTTAAAAATGTTGTTGCCCTACAGAGCGAAATTGGTGGTATGCGTTTCCTCGGTTAATGCGATCGGGTTAATACTGCATGCCTTTCATTTGACTCTCGGGGTTAATGACACACAGCTTGACATACAGCTTGGTTTGACGGGTCCAGCTGCCCCCCAAAAAGAAACGGTGGATAAAATCAAGCAGTGAGTCTGACATCTTAAAGTCATGAAAGCGTATTTCTCCGGAGAAGCCAGGCGAGACCGCAGCAAACGCTGCTTATCGCTGTTCTCATATTCCTGCCAGCAGTGTTTTCATACTAGCATTAAAAATAGATCCTGCTCTGTCACTCTTGGGTACATCAGGGACAGACAGGATGGGTACCTCTTTTAGAGTCCTATCAAGTCCTGGGGCTGGAACTAGAAAGGAAGCCTCCTCGCATTTTAGCCAGATTGAAACGACCGTTATATTAGCATGTGATCAGTAATATGGTATTACCGTGTGAATGTGTTTCTCAGATACAGAGATTATTGAACTGCACAGTACATGAACAGATCCCCATTGGTCCAGATCAGGCAATTTGACTCCTAGAGGATACAGTGTGTTATCTGTCATTCAGTATTGGATTTATGGCTGACATACAAGGTGACACAACTCTGTTCCCCTGGTAATGGCTTGCAAATGAAGAATGAAATCAGGCTGACCCAGGGCCCTGGGGGGGGGGCTTGAGATAGCCACCCTCGCTGTATCTGCAGGAAGGTTAAGGTTTGTAACAAGGCACCTGTCAGCATATAACATTTCAGCTGTCAACACTTCTGCTGCAAGGGTGGCCCTGTGACCCAGAAGGAAGTTTCAGAGTGCAGATGTGCCGATATATATGGTTCAGAGGTAAATTGCTTATAAACAGGGGTGTTTTATGAGAGAACACTTCCAATTTCCTTTAATTGAAGTGTCTAATATTCTCTCTCTGTAACTCCTGTATAACATTCCATAAGTAGTAGTCAGTTCCATCCATCCA